CTGCAGAGCCAGATTCTCCCTCCCTCTGCACTTACACTTTTTCAAATACATTTGGCCACTGCTTAAAAACCAGAAAAGTCACCGCCGGGTGAGGTGGCGCACGCCTGTAATCCCAGCACTCGGGAAGCTGAGGCAGGAGGATCGTTGCGAGTTCGAGACCAGCCTGGGCTGCAAAGTGAGCTCAAGGCCAGCCTGAACTGCATAGCGAGACCCTGTCTCAAAAAGACAAAACAAAACAAAACAAAAACAAAAACAGAAAAGTCAAGCCAGAGGCTGAGGAAACCCGTAGGAGTGTGTGTACATGGTGCACCAGCGTCTGCATCTCCCGTGCCCTCCGGGTTCCTGTAGGACCGCTCGGTTCCCGGTGTGGTGGCCCATAGGGGGCGGTGGGCGCCTCCGAGTCCCTGTGCAGAGAATGTGGACCCCAGCCCCCTTTCTCTTTTGCTTCCTGGCTACGAGCTGAGTGGTTTCTGTTTCACCGCACACTCCCACCCTCATGTGTGGCCACCGCCGGCCTCCAAGCACACTGGAAGCCCCAAGACTGAGTGAAAATAAAACTTTCTCCTTACAAATGGATCATCTCAGGTATTTGTCACAGTGGTACAACGTGGACATGTTCTGTGTGTGTATCAGTATACCAAAAAATTGTACAATCAGTAGGACACCTCAATCTTAAGAGTTGAGCAAAAGATTTGGAGAGGAACTGCAAGAGTGGGGGAAGGATATAGAAATGACTGATAATATGAAAAAATCTTGGACTTTGTTAGTCATCAAGGAAAGCCGCCTGGAAGTGCAGGGACCCCGCCACCCATTAGAACGATTGAAAGTTAAGAGACCGAGAGTGCCAACTGCGGGTCAGAGTCTGTGGAACAACTCGAGTCACACACCATGCTGACAGGAGCTGAACATGTTATATTTACTCTGGAAAACAGTTTGGCGGCTTCTTATAACCTTAAATATATTCCAGTCACCCTACTTACAATTGTACCTCCTGATGCTTATCCAGGAGAAGTGGGTATAGAGGAACGACCCCGATACCCTTGCTATTAGTGGCTCCAAAGCAGTGGTAATCTAAATGCCCACCAGCAGGTGAAGAGGCCACCTCTAGAGTATTCATGCATGGCCCCCGAGCAGTGAAGCAGCGTCAGCTGATGCACACGACGTGGACGAATGCAGGGACCTGCTGAGCAAAAGCAAGCCTGTGGTGTGCTCTCTACTGGCAGTGAGATTCGAGGTCCGGCAGAGCTGACCTGTGTAACAGACAGCAGATCAGCTGGACGGGTTGTGTGTGTGTGTGTGTGTGTGTGTGTGGTTGGGGGGTTGGGGCAGGGTTGGCGTGGGCAGGACTAGGCGTGACAGGGCTTGGGTGATAGAGTGCTCTTGATCTTGGTGCGCATGGGTACCTGCGGAGACTCAACTTCTGTGAGTACATTTGGTTGCACATAGATTCTTTTAATAAAGTTAATTAAAAATGAGAAGTGGAACCAGGCCTGGTGTCCCACGCCTGTCATCCCAGCACTCGGGAAGCTGAGGCAGGAGGATTGCTTTGAGTTCAAGGCCAGCACAAACTGCATAGTGAAACCCTGTCTCAAAAAGATGAAAAAAAAAAAAAAGTGAAGGAAGTCAACCAACTACTTACAGTGAGTACTTTAACTTTATTATCTCGGTTAATCCTTGTAACCATTTATTCACTTAAGAGTATTCAGCAAATATCTTTTGAGAGTCTATCATACAGCCTCTGCCAGGTACTACGAGGGTACAGTGGTGAGCAAAAGCTGCCATGGTTTCCACGCCCCCTTCCAGGCAGTTTTATGTTTGGAAGATAGACATTAGTAAAACATGTGGCTTAGGGAAAGCTGGAAGGAGTGTGCCGTGAGTGTGGGTATTATCCTCAGCAAAACCATGCGCTCTTACCTGATGTGTGACATGCTGTGTGTAAGGCCAGCCTTGCGTCGCGTCTTTGTAATCGCTTCCTACTTCGTGAGTTCCTGCGTGGGAAGCACTTGGTTACCATACCTCGGAAGTGTCCAGTCAGGCTCGCTGCTATCTTGAAAACGTTTCACAGTCCTGATCAGTGCTGCAGGGCTGCACCTGTACCTGGACCCAGTGTGACTGTGGATGGTGACGTGTCAGCCTGACTGGGTGAAGAAACTGCTGGGGGATTAGGCAGGCACGCTTGTGGGCGTGGCCTGGGACCGTGTATTGTTCCCCTCTGGCACTGTTACCTGCTTCACTTCCTGGCCGGCGTGACCTTAACATCTTTGGTTTACCATGGCCTTCTCATACGTGCTTCTGCCTCGGAGTCATCTGACCGTGGGCTGAACCCTTGGGAACAGAGCCAAATAAACCATTTTCATCTTTGCATTGTGGGTGTCGAGCAGTTGGGTGCAGGAATGTGAGTGCTGAAATGGTTACAGGTGAGCTTGGAACGCGAGCTCTGGGCTGTGGAAGCCTCGCTGGGCTGCAGAGGCAGGCCTGGGAGAGGGGCCAGGTGGGAGCGGGGAAGGCGGTGTGTGCGCTGGAGGGTGAAGCCAGCAGTGCAGTGGAGACCCCGGACGTCAGAGACTCAGGGAGCGTGGAAGATCGCTGAGGAAAGCGGCAGGCTCTGAGCGGGGCGGCCCAGGAGAGCCCAAGGGGGCTGGGAACGACGGGGCCACTGGGCTCACAATCACGCCGTGCGCTGGGTGCTGGGTGCTGGACGTGGAGCCGCAGGGCTGCATGGTTGCCCTGCTGGGTTTTCATCTGGCTTTGGTCTGATTTTTCTGGCCCTGTTTTTTTTGGGTGGGAATGTTTATCCTGTGCTGTCACACCTGGGGCCTATGGTGACTTGTATTTTATATCTGCAGAGTTTCACAGCTAAAGTTACCTGGAGTCTCAAAAGGGACTTGGACTTGGACTTTTGAAAAATGCTGGGGCTCTGGAGAACTTTGCAGAGGGAACTGGTGCGTTTCTGGCTGTGGGCAGCGCAGTCGCATCCTGTTGGTGGAATCGTGAACTTGCAGTTGCCTTTATCCGGAGGTCCTGGGCTGGGAGAAGGGCCAGCATCTGGCCAGCAGTGGCCTCAAGGGCAGGGAAACACCTCATGCGCAGAGAAGTGCCCCGCCCCTCGCGTGACCCTGCGGACGCTTTTTTCTTTTTTCTTTTCTTTTCTTTGTTTTCTCTTCTTTCTCGCTCGGAGGTGGGAGGGGAGGGAGCAAGCATCCTCCTATCCATCATTGGTGTTTTGGTCCCAAAATGTACAGTTTTCTATGTAATTTTCTGTGCTAACGACCAAGATAAATATTTTAATTGGATAATTTATATGAAAAAATTCATTGTCTTGAACAAAAATTTTAAAAATCCAGAGATACGCATAGTTACTTCTTTGCAGAATGGTTTATAACAGCAAAGAAATAAACAGTTTTAACAATGTTCCCCCAAAGAAAATGGCTGTTAAATTTTGGTTTATTTATATAATAGAGTTCCTTATAGTAATTAAAACAAATAATTCTAAAAGTAGGTTGAATGAAAAACTCAGGTGACAAAAGAATAGGGTTAGTAAAGTAGACATAGTAGCCCCAAGATTTAGTATGTGAAGTTTCTCTTACAGGCGGGGGGGGGGGACACTTTGTCCCCCAAGCCCCCATTGCTTTTATGTTTGAGTCAAAGACAGTCCTTGCTGCCATTCCGGCATGCTCAGGTAAGCACAGTCTTTTGCAAAATTGTAAATGTTGATGACAGTTAAGAATACTTAGGGACCTGAGGCAGTTCTTGGGTGAATATGGACTGGAATTAGCCACCAGTGTGACTTTGGGAGAGTTTGCTAAGCCACTGCGGCACATTTATTTGGTGACTGCTGTTCATATGTATTGATTTCACTAAAATTTCCTCACATGTAGAAGGCGTTTTTAAATTTTCCCATTGTGGTTATTTGTATTAAAAGTGTATAAGGCGAACTGCTAGATTTGTGACTCTGATTTGGTTGAAGGAAACTATCGGTGGCTGGTTGTCATAGTCATTTCTCATTGCTGGGACAAAATACCTGAGCCCACAATTTAAAGAAGAGATACATTTTTGCCTCAGTTGGTTGAAAGCGTGCACCTGTATCCCTTTGGCTGCAAGGCTGGGAGGCAGGAGGGAAGGATCTGCCTGAGGAGAGCGGTTCACATCACAGCAGCCAGCGAGCAAAGGGAGGACCCAGGCAGGGACCACGCCCAGGCCACGCCCCAGCGACGCCCTCCTCCCACCAGGCCCGCCTGCTAGCAGGAGCTGGTGGCTGTGAGCCCCCGCCTCTGAGCGCCTGAGGCTGGGGGAGGGCCACATTCAGGTGCAGACCGTAGCACTGGAAGTTTAGATAGTCTCATTGAATAATTCCTATTCAGGATATTTTATCAGTTAAAATTAGATGATTCGTGTATTAGGGCTTTACGGCTCCCTTGCCTAGTGTCCTGAATACGTCCCCTTTTCCTGTTAGATGGGTGGGCCGTCTGAGGTGAAAGGAGCACTTGAACCCAGTAATTGGAGGCCGGCCTAGGCAGCGTAGTAAGACCCCGGCTCAGAAAAGGAAAAGAAGGAAAGGTGGAGGGAGGGAGCGGCGGGGTCCTGTTGTCCTGTGCAGGGTGCTCCCAGTGCCCTTGCGCCCTCCGGCGAGGGCCCCTCCTCCAGGCCCCACTGTCTCCCAGTGATGCCACAGGGCGGGACCAGAGGCCTGACGCAGGGACCTTTGGGGGGACAGTTGAGATCCAGGTCATAGCACGGCTTGGATGTTCGTCATTCACCCTAGTGCTGCAGCAATTTTTATTTATTTATTTATTTATTTATTTTTGTCTTTTTTTTTGGAGACGGTCTCCCTGTGCAGTTCAGGCTGGCCTTGAGCTCACTCTGTAGCCCATGCTGGTCTTGAACTCGCAGTGATCCTCCTGCCTCAGCCTCCTGAGCGCTGGGATTACAGGTGTGCACCACCACGCCCGGCCTGCAGCAGTTTTAAAACATGATGGTAAATGGATCGTTCTCTCTCACAGCTCCCATCCTGATTTCCGAAGAAGCCACACGTGGTGACGAGCATGACTGAGTTCTGGCTCATCTCGGCTCCTGGGGAGAAGACCTGTCAGCAGACATGGGAGAAGCTGCACGCGGCCACCACCAAGAACAACAATCTCGCTGCCACTTCCAAGTTCAACATCCCTGACTTGAAGGTGAGCTGCACTGGCAGGAGCGCAGGGCTGAGCAGAGGGGCCGAACCCTCTCGGTAGCCGTGTGAACTGAGGTCCTGGCTCCTGCAGAAGTGCCCTGCCTTCTGGCCTTGGCAGGATTTAAGCTGCACCCTGTGCTCCCGGATGTTCTGGGTCAGCCACCTGACAGAGTAGCGTCCTTTCTTTTGGGACTTCGGCAGTTTCCTGAGTTGCAGTGAGAAACCCTTTAAAAATACGTATCTACAAATACACCTTCTGGAAGGGAAGAATCTTAGGAGTACAATTTTAAAAATACCATTGAGTTAATTTTTCTGTTCATATCCTGCCAACACTGTCAGTGTTAACCACACCACCTGCGTCATCACACTGGCCAGAGCTGATCCCACTGTGTAATGCAGCTGCCGTGTTTAACATGTACGGAAGACCCAGAACCCAGCAGCCTCAGCGGGAAGCGGGCCGCCAGTTCAAAGCGGACTGAACTTCTGTGATCTGTGGACGTCAGCGCGGTTTATATTTTGCTAGCGAGCTGCGGCACTCATTGAAGAACTGCTTAAAGTCACCAGTATGATCTGGAATTAGGGATTCCTCTGGACAGGATGTTCCCTTCAGAATATGATCGTTTGTATACAGTTTCATACATACTCTACAAATTCAGCGGCAGGCCCTCTGTTGCCTAGTTGTGGACTCTGCTCTGGGCTGTGTTCTGAGTGAGCGCTTGGCGGACCCACTGTCCCTGCACAGCCTGAGCCTCGGCCTGCCGTGACAAGTCCTCCATCCACGGTGCATGCGCACCCGTACCTGTCAATTAGAGGATTAGCTTGTACGCCGGGAGAGGGTTTGAAATGTCTGGTAAACAGCTTTGGGCGATACTGGCACATAATGAAATAAAACGTGGAGAACTTACGATTGTGGGTTCCGTCAAATCAAGTTGTATCGTTGTGTGAATGAAGGGATGAACACAAGTGACTAAAAGGCCCCCTCTCTTGTAGGTTGGCACGCTGGATGTCCTGGTTGGCTTGTCGGACGAGCTGGCTAAACTGGATGCGTTCGTGGAAGGGTAAGGTGCTCACCTGTCTGTCACCAGGCAGCCCGCGTGTGCGGCTCAGCAGGTCACCAACACACGGCTGATTGGTTTAGGAAATAAGGGCCTTTTTCTTTGTAAATACAGTTTATGAAAGAATAATTTACATACAGTGAAATGCACATTTAAGATGTGAGAAATCCTCTTTAATACCTTTACTGAGCCGGGGTTTGCATGCCGTGCAGCCCCGTGTTCACAGTACACAGTTGTTTTTCATACAGCCCCAGGGGTGTGCATTCTTCCTCAAAGAAGTGTTTCTTTGGATCCTTTGCCCATTTAATTGGTTGATTTGTCTTTCATTATTGAGTTATAAGCATTCTTTACGTATTCGAAGTCCCTTAATGGCTATGACTTGCAGATATTTTTGTAATTCTGTGGAGTCATCACTTCTTTTTTTGAGACAGCCGCTCTCTATGCAGTTGAAGCTGGTCTTGAACCTGTGTAGCCCAAGCTGGTCTCAAACTGGAAGTGATCCTCCTGCCTCGGCCTCTTGAATGCTGGAGTCACAGGTGTGCATCACCATGTCTGGCGATCACTTTTTCTTACCATGTTTTGTAAAGCACAGAAGTTTTCTGGACTCTGAGTTGTTTCATTGATCTCTGTTTTTGTATTAGAGGGTGAGATCAGGGTTACAAAGAGAAGTGATTATTTTTTTTCCATACTGAGATTGAATTCAGAGCCTTTGTACTGAGTTGCATCCCTAGCTGTCTTTTGTTTTGTTTTGTGTGAGATAGGGCCTCACTATGTAGGTCAGGTTGGCTTTGAACTTACATGTAGCCTGTACTGGCTTTGAACTTTCAGTGCTCCTCCTGCCTCAGCCTCCCAAGTGCTGAGATTACAGATATAGGCCACCATGCTCAGCTAGAGAAATTTTTAACATAACCGCGTGCAGTAACCTAGGTGTTGTGTTTACAGTCTTTATATGGGAGGCAAGAAGCCCCTGTAGGGAACGGTTTTACAGGAGACTTGGCACAAGTAAGAGCTTTGCATGAGGGCAGGCGCTTTGCCCCTGGGATGGAATATTGGGAGGAAGAGGAAGTTGCTTTGGGGTTATGATTCATGTGTTCATGTAGTGCAGATGTGGTGAGTGGTAACAGTAACTACTGACGGCATACGCAAAGACTGAGCTGACAGAAAGGCAGTGTTCTGGTTTCCGCCTTCTCCTCCTCCTGGTTTTGGTGCTGGGCCTTGACCCCAGGCCTCGTGCGTGCTGGGCCTGTGAGTGTGTGAAGAAGCGTGCCGAGGAGACCTGAGCCGCCTCCCTGGTGGGCGACTTCCCTGGTGCCATCCGCGGTCCTCACAGCTTTGGGTCCTGGCTACTGGAGAGAAGCTGAGGAGGAGGCCCCAAGCACACGGCGGCTGGCGGGACGTGCGGGTCCTTCCTCCTCTCCTCCGTGGCTGGGGCGGCCGCTGAGTGATGCACGCTGTCCTGAACGCGGTTGCGAGTTTGCAGGGATTCTGTCGGGCAGGAACCTGGGAGGTATTTGGGGCAGGTGTTGGTGGGCTTGGTGCCCTGTGCTTTGTCGCCCTGTGCCTGTCTTCTGCAGTCGACCTGAAAGAGCCGAGAAACTTTACAATGTGTTTGGCCTTTGGAATGACACGTGGTAGCTTCATGACTCAGATGTTCCAGCTTTGGAGGCCTCAGCATTGTGGTGTTTGGAGTCATAGTTTATGCTTTGTCAAAAATCTAATTTTTAGAATGGTTTATGTTGAAGTGACTGTGTACATTGATCTAGATACTCTTTGTTTTTAAAATTTATTTGAGACTCACTCAGTAGCCCAGGCTGGCCTGGAACTTATGATCCTCCTGCCTCAGCCTTCTGAGTGCTGGGATTACATCTGTGTGCCACCATGCCTGATCTAGCTGGTCTGAGAGAGGCACACAGGGAGGTCACGGGGTACCCAAGTGTCTGTAACCGCAGGTTAAGCAGGGGGAAGACCTATTGCTTGCATCACAGTTTCTGAAATGGCTCTCTGCCTTCCTGGGTTCGAGGTCGCCCAGTGCAAGGTCGTCGTTCCAGCCCTGGCTGTCTTTTCTGGCCCTTATTGGTTGAGGTTTACACTTCCCAGTCTTCGGCTGACCCTCCCCCCGAGCATGCAGCCCTCTGCATGCATGCTCTGTCCCGGTCCTGCCCCTGCCGCTCCCGCTAGTCTGGCACTGTGCTGGCCGGCTGCTTTCTGCCGTCTCCCCGGCTCCTCCTCAGCTGGCTGGGTGCTTGTACGCCTCGTGAAGGTGCTGATTTTGTCGGGTGTAATTTTTGAGTGTGACCGAGGACTAGAGGCAGCGCTGGGTGGAGAAGGAGCGTGAACCCCGGAGTTGCGTGGCCCTGCCTGCGCTGGTCTTCTGGCTTGGGCTGAGTCCCTCACTTTCCTCGCACCTTGATGTCATATCAAAGGAAGAAAATGAAACATCTGGGCTGGGAGCCTGTGCGGTTTTGTTACTGGTTTCTTTTTTTTTTCTTGGTACCAGGAATCGAACTCAGGACCTTGCACTTGCCAGGCAGGCGCTGTGCCACTGCGCTATCTCCCCGGCCCTGTTACTGCTTTCTCCTGTAGCGGAGCTGCCTGTGAGCAGTGGTGTCCCATGAGTACGTAGTGCGTAGGCCTCTCCAGTGTCACGACAGCTTCCCCGCGCTGCTGCCTGCCGCCCTTCCCCGTGCAGACAACAGCAGAGCGTTGCACTGCGGGGTTTTCCATGTGCCACAGCCGCCATCCACAGCATCTCCCTCTGCAGCTCCCACATTTCCTTCGTAGGCTGATAGGGGTTGGGGTGTTCCCATTAAGCCCCCAGTTACCCTGGTGATCTTGTGTCATAAGGAAACCTTGGTCTACCTCGTCCTTTCCCTGTTAGGTAGCAGGTAAGAGCCGTTTCTCCTAGATGTGTGTACTTGGAGAATAGTCGAGTTCATGGCTGTGCACGCTGTGTCCACTGGGTAGCCTGGAACGCAGGTCTTCTTTCCTAAACATGCTGGCGGTGGGTTTGTGTGTTCTTACCCCACAGGGTGGTTAAGAAGGTGGCTCAGTACATGGCTGATGTCTTGGAGGACAGCAGAGACAAAGTGCAGGAGAATCTGCTGGCCAATGGAGGTAAGCCAGGGGCTCATGGGCCGTCTTTATTAACTCATTCGACGCGCGTGACCTGACTGCCGAATCAAAGAAGGGTGTAAAGCGATCTGTGAATGAACATGTTAAATACAGTAGAAGGCCATTTAAATGCAGTTGTTACTGAATTTGGTGACATTGTCAGTTACACGCTGTCCCCGAATCAGTCCTGTGGAAGATACTCTGAAGTACTGTAGCTTACCGTACAGTGCACGGTTTCGTGCTAGCAAACTCGGAAATCTCACGTCTACAAGTCAGTTTCTCAGTTACGTACCTCAGCACCTTTTGGGTTTTAGCTGCTGTCTTCCCCAGCTGTCTGCATTTCGTAGTCTCCAGCCTTGAAGCCCTGGAATAGCAGTCATGCATGTTTTTGCACAGTAATGCCCCTTACCCTCAAATTTGAATATGGCTTTTCTTGTACCCATAAAAGAGTTGCCTGACATCTCTGTAGCCAGGGGCTACATAGTTTGTCTTGTGATAATGGCTTCCAAAGAAGACTTTGACCTCATGGTTGTCGTTTTTTTACTTGGACTTGTTTTCTAAGGCATTTGCTTCATTTTAAGTTAGATCCCTCTTAAGTGATAAGCCATTTAAATAAGAAGTGACTGTATTCACCCTATATGTTATTGCCTTCCAGGGAAGGTCAGTTTATTAAAATCCAGTGTTCTTCTAATCTCATTTCTTTGCCTTGAAAATAATACATGTTCAATAAATAATTAATTGGTTAAAAATACAATAGTTCTTGGTTTTTGTTATAATAGTGATCCTGGTGTAATTGCTTACTGTTTCTGTTAGAACAGAAGGTAGATATGCTAATTTATGTCACCTTTACTGATGTAGGTATTTCCTACACTAGAGCAGTCAGTGTGGGCGATGAAATGGAGGTGGTGATTTGGAGGTGGCAGTGTCTAAAACTGCTTTTGGAAAAACCTGTGCTGCTGACCCACTGGGATTCTGTAAGGAGAAACTAAGACAGGATACGCCGATAGGGGTTACTGTGTCCGTTAGCTTTGTTGCACTTGGCTTTTGGGCTTCTGGGCTTGGTCCTGCTGGACTTGAGGGGTGAAGTTCTTTGGATTGTTAAGCTTCCTGGGCTCGAGTAACCCGTGTCCCTTTGGTTTCACTGTTTTTTCTTCTCCCCATTTGGAAGTGAAAGGTCCACATTTTGAAGATTGCTGAAGAGTAGAATAGTCACTGCTGGGTGTTAATAGGAAAGCTCCTTTCTAGTTTGAGGACATTTTTGAAGGAAAAAAAGTAAATTTAATGTCAAATCAGATTTATCACAGAGACAATTAGAAGTAGTCTTTGTCTTTTCTCCTACATATAAAGCATATCATGAATGTGTACATATCCCGTGTGTTGCTGATCCCATTAGAGAGAGCATCTTTATATATTAGAGCCACTAGAAGAGATTACAAGGTAAGCACCCTTGTTACTCCATGTTACTTAATACAGTTCCACATTTATTTAATCAGGACTCTTCAGAAATGACATCCTTACTGATGTCAGTGCTGGCATTAGACAGTACTGCTGTGCAAAAATAGATGTAAAAAATCCTATTGCTTCTCCTCAGCGGTCAATTTATTCCTTTATTTCAGTTGACTTGGTTACTTACATAACGAGGTTCCAGTGGGATATGGCCAAGTATCCGATCAAGCAGTCCCTGAAAAATATTTCTGAAATAATTGCCAAGGTAAGAAAAACATCGAGACAGGTAGGACACATGGATTTAGAGTGGCTCCCTTTGTTTTATGACTTAGCTATGGAATACAAGCAGGAGGTAACCCCTCCTACCCCACTGTTAGGGGTTGCAGGGTGTTTAGAGGTTGCAGACATTGCCGAGTAGTGTGACACTGTCACGTGTAGGTTGTCTGAGCTGTATAGTGTATACTTACGTGGCTAACTTAAATGTGTCAACAGTGTTTCAAAGGCAACTTTAAAATTCAATAACGATTATTTATGCAAGCATTCAGGCTACCTTAGATCAGGTAGAATGGGAAATTGAAATCTAGGAAAGATCTGAGTTACCCAGACCGATGATCGTAGTCACTCAGGCATCAGTATGTACTTTCTTGTTCAAACGTTCACCTTCGTGGTTTCTGACCTTGTGACTGTTTAGCACTGACCCTGGGCCCTGAGATCGTGTGTTTTTAGGTGCAGTTTTAGGGAGCAGGGGTCCCAAAGCCCGCCCATGCACGCACCAAGCTAAGAGCCCTGCTTGCTTATTTA